ATTGGGGGAGGTTAAGAAGGACCCATCTTGCTGGCATTGTGAAGGATAGACTGACACAGAAACCGGAGGGAAAGAGAAGAGTTTTGAGATTGCAGGAAGGTAAAGAATGGGACAGCAGTGTATTTTCACAGTGGAACACTACACAGCGATTAAAATGAACAATTACAGTAAAACAGAACCAGCGTGGATGAATGATTCCATTTACATCAGGTTCAAAAACCTGATGTCAACTAGGCCATCATGTTTAGGATGTAACACAGATAGTAAAACTGTAAAGAAAAGCAAGAAAGTGGTTACTGTAAAAGTCAGGAGATCTTTGGAGAAGCGTTTGGGAGGGACAGAAGGGGGTTTGTGGGGTGCTGGTAGTATCCTATTTTTTGACCGGGAGTGGTTACATGGGGTTTGCTTTTCTTTGTACTTTTCTGAGCATTCAAGGTTTTAAGGGGAGCAGGGATAAAAATGAGAACAAAAATGAAAGAATGGAAAGCCTGAACAAGGACAATGACTACAGAAAGAGAAGTTTCTTCAGTGACTTATTGTGCTTCTCTTTATTCTAAAAGGCTTTTTCCCCCCCATTTTAACATTTCTGAAATTGGGTGCATCCCACCATCGATGGCCTCTTAGATGTGGTGGAATGTGGGCATTTTAGGGCTCCCCACCATCCTGGCTGCCTTCCTCTGGGTCTCTGGCCTTTCTAGAGTGGAACCACCCCAGAGTGGTGACTGGCAGCAGCCTGTGGCCCCACAGCCGTCAAGAGGGAGAGGAAGGGGAAAAGCGTGTGGTGGCCTCTGGTGCTGTGCTGCTGATGGCAGGAAACCTAATGGAGGCTCACTGGTCTGAATCAGGCTCCAAGCCCCGCTCCACCAGTGTCTGTTGACACTGACAGACTGCGGCTTCCCATCTGCTATGTCCCTTGGTGACCTGGCCCACCTCGTGGTGAGATCTGCATGGCTAGGAGGTGGAAGGACAATTGCCAATGGGCCGTGTGTGAAAGAAATGTCCAGGGACCTGTGAACCAGCACTGGCTTAGCTTCCTTCTGAACCATGTCTGGGCAGAACTCACTCTTTCAATTGAAAGATGCTTTTAGCGTCAGTTTAGTCCAGATGAGAGTTGCGTTATGGGGCTATGTAGGGAGGTATCAGAGAGAGATGGGAAAGAGTTGAGGTCAGATTTCAGAGGAACTTCCTGGTGGCAACTACAGTGCCGTGAGACACCTACTTGGTGTAAATACCATAATTCCCTTCTCTAGAATCCTTGACTATTCAACTAGATGATGCCTGGAGGCTTTAGTGCATCGCACAGAGCGAGTCAATGGAGCACACAGGCTTACCCTGCACTGTCTCGTTAAATCATCCCCATGTCCAAGAGGTAGGCACTGTTTTGCTATTCCCATCTAAGGATGGAAGACATAAAACAAACAAAGGTCACTTGCGTGTGCCAGGGTCACACAGTGTTAAGGGGGAGTCAGGACTCGATCCCATCTCTGAAGGTCCTTTACTCCCTGGCAGCACTGCCCAGTCGTGTGAGGCTCCAGCTGTCCCTGAGAAGGCTCTGTCATCTTCTAGTCTGTTCTGTACCTCTTTTCCTTTTTTTCCCCTTGCTTTTCATGAGCTGTATATCCTTCTTTTTCAAGGAAGGATTGTCTACTTCCAGAGAGCTACTGTCTGGGCCCTTCTCTTCCAACTCCAGGGAGTTCCCTCCAGTAATGAGCAGAGAGCAACCACTGTGGCTTGATGGTTTGCCGTGATCTCATTTGATTCTTCTTCCCGTCCTTGGCCCCAAGCCTGGCCAGTTGTGCTAAAAGTAGCACTGACCCAATCGTGGTCTGTCCAGGGGCCAGGACTATTTTGACTCTGTCCTCAGGAATCATGTGGTCTGAGGTGTGTACAAGCTGGACTGCTCCCATGACCACTCAGATGTGGTGCCAGGAATGTTCTGGCCGACACACCTGTCCCCAAAGCTGCTAAATGCTGCTACTTACCCCGTGGTCCCCCGCGTGTGTCCTGGGATACCGGTTCCAGGAGGGACAGGCGGTGACGACCTGCACCAGGGAGCGGTTAGGGGCTTTATATCCTCATACGTAAGAGAGCGACCAGCCGGTTTTGGGTGGCACTTGCTTCTCATAGCTCCCCATCAGACTGGAGCATGTTAATCTGTGTATTTGTGACATCCACTCCGAATGGGGGCCCAGCAACAGAAGCCTCCTTAGAGACAGCAAACATTATTCTTCCAAGGAAGGCTGGAGGATTTCCTTCTCTGGAGGCCGTTAACAGTAGAAGAACTTTTCATCCTACTGGCTTAAACATAAGTCAAGTCCTAGTGCAAGGCTCCTGCCTGGAACATCATCCTCTCCTCTACTAGAATGGCTTTGCCATTCTTCGAAGTCCAGCTGAAATCCCCTTCCCTAAGGACTTTCTTCTTTTGTCACCAAACGGGTGCTTAGCACGGACTTCCCATTAATAGAGAGGCTTTTTCCTCCTTTTATCCTTTCCGTCTAGTCTGTGGGCTCTTAACTTCGGATACCTTTTGCTTGCCGGCACCCAGGATGCAGCAGATGCCCTGCATTTGTAGGCTGGTGAACCGGCACAGCCAGGACGGCCGCTAGCTCTGCCCAAGAAAACAGTTTGCATCTCCTTATTGTGCTAGTTCATTCCTCAGTTCCCTACACAATCCAACATTGGCCTCTTTGCCTGTCTGCAAACTGTGCCTGGTCTGCACACTGGGAATAAACAATGTCTAATAAGATGAGGTCCCTGCCTGAGAGAAGCTCATGGCCTAGTGGGGGACACATATCTTGCTGTCTAGTGGGTGAAAAGCAATCATTCAGAGGCCACCATGACCAGCTTTGCCTCAGGGAGTCGGGAAGGGCCTCGCAGAGGCTGTGATCTGTGGCAGGCCCTCACAGACGCTCAGAAAGGCACGGGAGGACAGGCAGGAGGAAGCGCGCTCCAGACGAGGGCCAGCACTTGTGAGGGCATGGAGGCATGAAAGGCCCTCGGGCCCGGGAAGGCCAAAAAGTCACCATATTTTTGCTGCATTTTGTCTACAGACCAGCTGGCTATGGAAAAGGAGGTTGCTTGGCTCTTTCCCACAAATAGAGAGGTTGGAGCCAGGCACTAGGGCTTGACCCCACAAGGTGTCAGAGTTCTCAGAGTCCCTACCCCCCTGCCCCCTGGGGCCGTCTGCACTCCCTCCTCCCGTCCTCCCTCTGCTCCTTCCCAATTCGAATAAAATTGCCTCCTGTAAGGCTGATGTGCCTTCTTTCTTGTTAGAATCTTCATATTGTATGAATCCCAAGTCCCAGCTGCCTTGGCAGGGTGGTCAGGGTCAGAGGTTTGCATTAAAGCAACACATGGTCCTGATCACTTCATTTGGGGGATGCTGAGGCAGGGAAGAGGCTGCTCTCCTTTTCCACCGGTAATGAGAGTACCGCCAAGGCTGCTGATCGCAACCTTTTCCTCAGAAAGTTTTAAGCACCTTCCAACACTGATAATAACAGTATTGGTACCTTTTATTGAGCGTTTTGCAAGTGTAATTTCACTTATTTGTTAGATGACTTGATGATGTATAGTTAAGTGATACACCTGAGATTTCATAGCTAGTCATAATAGAGCCAGATTGTGAGACCTCCCATCTCGGGGACCCTAGACAGCTCAAGCACCACTTTCTAATACCGCTCCAATCAAAAGGAATGATTTTAGCCTGAGGATGCTGGATGGCTTGATCTTCTGCCATAAGAGCCCCCAAACCTCCTCTAGCTTCCAGGACAAAACTGTGCCTTATTCAGATGTTCGCCACACCTTAATTGCACGCCTGCTGGGTGCCAGGCACTGGGCTGTGGCCTGAACAAGTCCTAGGAATGCATAGACTCAGCCATCATGTGGCCTCCCTCCTGATGGGGTCAGGGCCCTCTTCCCACTGACACCGAGAGCCTTTTCATCCTTTAATGTGACCTGTTCTGTCTTCCCCACCGCTCTGGCCAGCACCTATTTCTCTCCTCCTTCTTAGCCTCTACAGTGCTCATCACCCAAACCACAGCATCGAGTGCTCTGTTTTTGCTTTCCTTCACTCAGCAGGCATTTGTATGTCATTTGTATGTGGAAGGCACTGGGGATATATTCAGTATCCTGGTGCCCTCATGAATCACAGTCTGAGAGAGGGAGACAGACGCGTAGTCAGTGCACGGGCTACAGCATGCGGGGGACTGGGAGAGACACCTGCCCCGCTCTCTTTCTCATCTCCACTCAGTCCTGTAAAGTGGCATCGCAAAGCAATGGAAGAAAGACTGGACCCAAATCAGAAGATCTGAGCTGGTGCTACCATCTGGGGGACACTGGAGGAGTCATTCCGTCTCTTCATCTGCAAAGTGGGAATAACAATGCCTAACCTGCCTACCTTTCAGAGTTTTAATGATGTGCTTTATTAAATAAAATTATGATTTTTTTCATGAATAAAATGCATGAAAGCATTTTACAGGTTATAAAGCACTATACAAGTAGTACTTATTATATTTCCCTTCTGTCTCCTAGCAATGCCTAGCATAAATCTGGGCACATAGTAGATATTCAGTAAATATCAGTTAACTTAGATTGATCCATTCACCCCGCTTATCACCTTCTATGGACGTTTGAGGCCACTGGAAACCCTAACACTGACAATGCCTGCTGGGGGCAGCAGTGAGGATCAAGTGAGAAGGATGTGCCTTGGAAGCTGTCAGTACTGAACCATCCTGGTCTTGGGAGACCTCCCTGGTTCCCCATTGTGTGGGCTCAGTTACGGGCTGGCCAGTCTGGGATGTGGAGTCTCAGGCATGGGGCAGCCTTCCTCCAAGCCCTAGGTCCATTCTCTGTGGGGAGCAAACGTGACACTTCCCCAATTTTGGTTCCCAAACCACTCAGGCTGCCTGGCTCAGGATAGTGTCCATGGCATGGGCACAGTCTCTCGGCGGGGCCAGACCAGCATGTGCCCAGCCCTCACTAGCCTCCGCCTCTCGTTTCAGCACCCCTACCCCACGGAGGACGAAAAGAGGCAGATCGCAGCCCAGACCAACCTCACCCTCCTGCAAGTAAATAACTGGTGAGTTTACACCATCTGCACACAGGCTGCCATATCCAGGGGGCACCTTCTGGGCAGGGGAATGCGTAGCAAAGAAAAGAGACTCCAATGCCAGGATCTGCCTCAATCTCAGCCCAGCTACCATGCCAGTCCCGCCATTTGGGCTAGAAGCAGAAAGCAAGAATCAACACTGGCACCTGTGGCTTCATCTGCAGCTTCTCAGCGCCCTCTGCTGGGACATGGTGTCAGGCACATCCCTGGAAGCTCCTTGAGGAATAGAAAACCCACGCCCACCGAAGCCCCCAGCCCACCTGCACTGCAGAGAGAGACAGGATTGCCCGCACCCGTGTGCTGGAGGCCAGTGCTCATCCGGTCTACCCCACCCCCATGTGAACTGAAACTGAAACGTGCTGCAAAGCTGGGAGTGGGGAGAGGGAGGAAGAGTAGCCATTCTGACCCCACAGGGATGTCAGCGTTCCCAGTCTCTGTGCCTGGCTGGGCTGTCATGGGGAGCTCAGAGAGTGCGGTCTGGCCGGATGGAAGTAGACCCGAGTTGAGGGCCCTGATCCAAGCCCTCGGCCCTCTGGAGAGAAGTCAGAGGTTAGTGCCTATGACTACCATGCTCTCCTCCCCTGTTCATCCTGGAAGGTCTTGAACAAGGATTTCTGGCCCCCCATGCATTCTTCCCATACGACTTTGCAGTTTCCAAGCCCCAGGAGATTTCATGAAGTTCTCAGTACCCAGGGCCCTTCTCCCTGCTGGGCTTTTACATCCGGGACGGGAACCCCGATCTGCTCTGTGAAATGGAGTCTGAAGGCAGCTTCACCCTCCCTACCCCCACCCCAAGGCAATGCAGGCGGTGACTCACCAGGTCTCCACTTTACCTCTGGGCAGGTTCATCAATGCCCGGAGGCGCATCCTGCAGCCCATGCTTGATGCCAGCAACCCAGACCCTGCTCCCAAAGCCAAGAAGATCAAGTCTCAACACCGGCCCACCCAAAGATTCTGGCCCAACTCCATCGCTGCAGGGGTGCTGCAGCAGCAGGGCGGTGCCCCAGGGACAAACCCCGATGGTAAGAACTGGGGCTGAGCGTACCCTGGACAAGGCCTGGGGGTGCTTCTGGAGCTTCTTTAGGTCAAGCTGTGCAAAGATTCAAGGGCTGTCTCCTTACCTGGGCTCCCATCGCTGCTCTGTCACAGCAATTATCCCTCCCCAAAGCCCTAAAGAAGGGGCTGTTTTTGAACATAATTTAACAGACCAGATGCACTCTCATAAAGACAAGTGGCAGCTGGTGGTCACGCAAGTCAGTGACTGCTCAGCAGAGCCCCCCATGTCCGCACCCATCTGAGTTCCTTAGCACCAGTCAGTATCTGCGCAGCTCCTCAGGAGCCAGGGCCATCTATAAATACCAAGGCAGGCAGCTGGCTTGGGAACAGGCTAGGAAGAGCTGTTTTCCCAGCCTCTCCATCACACCCTCCATATACACTTTTCTAATTGCCAGTCGCCTAGTGCACAATGAATAATTCAATGAGCCAGACATTTTATAGCTTGGCACATGAAGATAGCTCTGCATGGGGAGTGGGGTGTAGGTGTGTGTGTGTGCACACATAACCTCATGCACACGTGTATGCGTATGGTTGCACACAGGTTCCTTTGTGCTAAGCCATCATCTTATGGGTTATGATGGGGAAAAAAAAAGATTTAGGGGACTAGACCAACCTGGGAGAGAATCCCAACTCTGTCATCACTGACAATGTCATCTTGAGCTAATGACTTAACTGTCTGAGACCCTGTTTCCTCCTCTTTAGAATGGGGATAATAATACCTACCTTACAGAATTGTTAGAAAGTCAAAAGTGGTCAACACATAAAGAAAATGCTCAGTGAATGGTGGCTGGGAGTGCTGCTTCCTGAGATGGGGCAGGAAGTAGCTGACAAGTGAATGGATGGGAGACTTCATACCAGGGCATTGTCCAGCTCAGACTTGGGCAGCCCTAGAAAGGAGAAGTTCACTGCTCTATGAGCCAGTCCATTACACCCTGTCCAACACAGAGGTGCTGGCCCTGACCGGCAGCCCCTGCCTCGTCCTGACCCTTGCTTTCTCTCATGCAGGTTCCATCAACCTGGACAACCTGCAGTCCCTGTCCTCAGACAATGCCACCATGGCCATGCAGCAGGCTATGATGGCTGCACATGATGACTCATTGGATGGGACAGAAGAAGAGGATGAGGATGAGATGGAAGAGGAGGAGGAGGAGGAGCTGGAGGAGGAGGTCGACGAGCTGCAGACGACGAATGTCAGCGACCTGGGCTTGGAACACAGTGACTCCCTGGAGTAGTCGGGCAGCCCAGATGGCACTGATCATCGAGCAGGAGAGGAGTGTCGCCGGGAGGCCTTCAGGGTGGGGGGGAAGGGGACGTGGGCAGGAAGCACCGAGGGAGTTGGGCCCTAGCTTCCCCAAATCAGTAGCTTGAAGAAAGGCAGAGGAGACACCTGTTCCTTCCCAACCACCGAGCTTCAACGAGGACCCCAGTCCCACTTCCCCGGAACTGCCAAGGACTCTGTTTGGCGGGGCCAGTCGAGCAGCCTGTATGGAAAGACAGCAGTGAGATCTGGACTCACCAAATCCCTGAGGACAGATGGCACCCATGGCCCCCACCCATGGAAGGACTTGAGTCGTTTACAAGCCCTGCACTGTGAGGCAGATTGGTGCTGTTCACAGAGTGGGCCTTTGCTCCGGGGGCAGACTTAGAAGGAAGGGGAGAGACAAAGGGGGACTGAGTTTCATCCCCAGAAGGTTCTCAGCTCCTTTGACAGACAGACATTCAAGGGCAGGAGGGAGCCCCAAAGCATAACCAGTGGCCAGAGGAGTGGGAGGGCCTGAGGCATCACATCTTGCAGATCAGAATGGGATAGAATCCACCGGGCTCCAGCTCATCCCTCCAAGGCCCTGTCTGTGCACAGCAACCATGGACATGGGGGAGAGGGATGGGCGGCACAGTCCCCTTCACTCTCTCCCGGAAACAAATTGTAAGCTGGTGGGCTCAACCTGTGGGAGGTTAAGAGGAGTCCCTTCTGGGTTGACTCCAAGAGCCAAGGAGATGGCAGACCCTGGGCTAGGAGCCATATCAAGGTGACTTTGAGGCCACAGCTGTCCCTAGGTGGTCACAGAACTCAGCTCCTGTAACAATAGGACAATGGTGTTTTACCCTAGATGCTCCCACCCTCAGTGCTCCAAACCCTCCATAGACCTTCAGAGAAGGTGAAAACAGGTTATCTGGGAATCTTTCCACCCAGCGGGTCGCCACGGCCATCCCTCTGCTCCCAGGCTGGCTCCATCAGCCTCCAGCTTCCTTTCTTCATTCTGTCCTTCAGGGAAGGCAGAAGAAACATTGGAAGGCATCTAGTCCAGTGGGAAGCCAGGGGTTGGAGAAGGTGCTACATCCCCCTTCCCACCAATATCCAAAATGTGGGGGAGGGCCCAGAGAATGGCACCCAAGAGCCTGCGGGGGTGCCCACCCCACACACCCTGCTGTTCTAACCCTGCTGTCCACAGCCCTGGAGGAACTGGGGCCCCTGGAAGGAGGAGGAGGCTCTCCACTGTCCACCCTAACACATACCCTCCCACCCACCTTCCAGATCCCCTTGGTTGGCACCCTCTCCTCCTGTTCCCTCTCACCCCATGGCTGTGAATGACAGGACTGGTCACATGTGTGTTTTCCATTGGGTTTAATTTAATGGACGTGCAGTTTCATTTGTAAATTGTGCATTAGCCATCTCCTGGCTAATGTGAGTGGCAGGATGTGCCACTCACATTATTGTGCATTAGCCATCTCCTGGCTAATGTGAGTGGCAGGATGTGAGTGGCGACCTGGCTCAACTGGAGGGGACCCGCGGGGCTTCCCCTCTGGGGCTTCCCCTCCCCCACCTGCTTGGGGTAGAGCAAAAGGATGGTCACTCTTCCGAGGTCTCCCTGAAATGAATGTATTTCTCCCCCAAAAGAGCTGATATTTAATGTTTTAATAGGGATTTTTGAGAAACAAATAACCGTATTTATAATCTGGGTGATCCAATCATTTTTTACTCCCTTTTGATGCCATACATAGAGGAAAGTCTAGCTTTTTTGGTGTGAGACTTTTGCAATGTGCAGTGGGATAAAATGCATTTCCTTTTCTGGTTCGTTTCTCTTGTTCACACACACACACACACACACACCCATTCCACTCACCACCTGGACAGGTGTCCCCCAGCACGGGCACACTGGCACACAGGTGCCCACATCTCTTCCTCCCAGCCCCTCCACCTGCCTAATGTTATGCAACCTCCTTCTGATGTATCCACCAAACCAGTACTGAATGTGGCCGAGACGTTTTCAGTAAATCTTATTACCTACCGTAACCCTGGTGCACAATTCTCTTTCTGTGGTTGCTGTGGCAATCCTTTGCTCTTTTCATGGGACCCGAGGCCAGACAAAATTTGGAGGCCTCAGTATACACCTGACTACCCAGGGAAGGGGACAAGGTAGATGTGCGTCCTGCGTGAGCTCAGCTGCTCCGTCTGGGGAGGAAGAGCCAAGTTCGGCACACTCACCTTGTGTGTGGCCAGTTGTAAGGCAGAGCTAGGGAGAGAAGGGAAGGAAGCTCTGCACTGCCCTCTCCTGGCAGCTTCCCCGACGGCAGCGGAAGCTCGGAATCCGGTCCCTCATGTCCACCATACTCCACCTCCCTCAAAGGCTTCTGCCTTCCCGTTTCCATCCTCAGCCCACGAGGGATATCTTTTTTTTTTTTTTTTTTTTTTTTTTTGGAGACAGTCTTGCTCTGTCACCCAGGCTGGAGTGCAGTGGCCGGCTCTCAGCTCACTGCAAGCTCCGCCTCCTGGGTTTACGCCATTCTCCTGCCTCAGTCTCCTGAGATGGGGTTTCACTGTGTTAGCCAGGATGGTCTCGATCTCCTGACCTCATGATCCGCCCGTCTCGGCCTCCCAAAGTGCTGGGATTACAAGATTTCATGATTGAAGCTGGTGCCACCACGGCCCCACACCTAACCTCAGTGCCCACTGTTTCCTGATGAGCAGGTGAAAGTCCCAGGCAGCGGGAGGGAGAGGCAGTCTTGGCTGCGGCCTTTCACCCTGGAGCTGTGTCCAGCGGGGAGCCTGCCCTTGAATCCCAGGGGTCAGCACCGTAATCCCCCAGGCAAGAAGAAACTCAGGGGCAGCTGATCTCCCCACAGAAGTGAGTGGCAGGCCTTCTTGTCACCTCCAGACGAGAGGGTACCTTCCTCAGTCACCCTTGCTGAGAGGTCTGGGGCATCTGTTTAGAAGCAGGAGGGGAGTGCCTTGTTCACGTTCAGTAATTCTGGAGAGTTTGCACGTACTGGCAGATCACCCCATGGCCAGGTGGAAGATAGGGAAGCCAATGGTTGGTTACACAGGCAAAGTGGGCTCCGAGCAGCTCTGGTGGAGTTCCCTGCATCACTGCCCTCAGGAGCCCAACCTCCCTCCCCATCCTCACACCTGGAGAGAGTTCTGCAAACTCAACAGAAACCCCGCCTCTCTGGGCAGAGGGAGAAAATCTTAGGAACTGCATGATCGGAACCTCACCTCCAGAGCTGGGAAGACAACAGTCCTTTAAGACAGAGGTTTCTAAGGAACACACTGTTGAAAGATATGCTACCAAAAAAAAAAAAAAAAATCCATGCCCAAATTAGCCTAACTGCATATTCTATTTTGCTAGTAGAGTTTCATCATACACATTATTATACTAAAGGCTCTGAAAAATCCTACAGGAAAGAAACCTGTTTAACTTTGTTTCAGTTGTTCCCAGATTTGCTCCAACTCCCTTTTTTTCAAGTAATATCTATTCAAGTTATACCGATATTCCACAAAACACACTTTAAGGAACACTATTCTAAAGAAATTGCAGAGTAGCCTGTCCTACACTCTCCTCCCTAAGTTTTTCTGTCAAGTTCTACCAGCCATCTTTTCAACCACGCTGCCAACTCAAAGTGGGTTTTTTGTTGTTTTTTTTGTTTGTTTTTTTGAGACAGAGTTTCGCTTTTGTTGCCCAGGCTGGAGTGCAATGGCACGATTTCGGCTCACCGCAACCTCTGCCTCCCAGGTTCAAGCGATTCTCCTGCCTCAGCCTCCCGAGTAGCTGGGATTACTGGCATGAACCAGCATGCCCAGCTAATTTTGTATTTTTAGTAGAGACGGGGTTTCTCCATGTTGGTCAGGCTGGTCTCAAACTCCGGACCTCAGGTAATCCACCTGCCTCAGCCTCCAAAAGTGCTGGGACTACAGATATGAGCCACTGTGCCTGGCCTTTTAAAATTATTATTATTATATATTTATTTATTTTTGAGACAGGGTTTCACTCCCATCACCCAGGCCAGAGTACCATGGCACAATCTCAGCTCAATGCAACCTCTACCTCCCGGGCTCAAGTGATTATCCTGCCTTGGCCTCCTGAGTAGCTGGGACTACTGACATGCACCACAAGGCCCAGCTAATTTTTTTGTTTTGTTTTTGCAGAGATGGGGTTTTGTCATGTTGCCCAGACTGGTCTCCAACTCCTGAGCTCAAGAGATCTGCGTGCCTCAGCATCCCACAGTGCTAAGGTTACTGGCATGAGCCACCACTCCTGGCTGAAAGGGGTTTCTAGAAATCACCTGAGATGTAGATAGTTGTGTTTTCAGGAGCCGACAACCTCTCTCTGTGCATGACCCAAATGCTACCCAACCCATAAAGACACGCCATAATCCCTGTGGAAATACGAGAGATGGATGATAGGGTGAGGGGTAGGGGAAGGTTTCCTTTACCCCAAAATAGAACTCTGATATCAGGGCTCTGGCAACAGCTCAGACTGACTTCTGCCCCCTACCCTCCCCCCACCCCACCGCCGACCCATCAGGAAAGACCTTTCAAGTTCAGGGATCCTGCTCATGGGAGTTGGTGGCCAGAGCTCAACTTCCTCGATCCAGGATCCCCTCTCCTGCTTTGCATGGGGCCCCATGAGGGCAATGACCGCCACACTGCAACCTGCTCAATTCATTGCTGATGAGTCATTGATTATCTCAGCATGCTTTTCTCCAGCCCTGACTCTGTCCCAGGCACTGTTTTTTACAAGGATACACCTGCGGCTAACAAAGACCGAGTTCTTTACTTCGGGGAGTTTACATTCTACTAGAAACAACTGAGACTGGTCCAGGTGCGGTGGCTCACAGCTATAATCCTAACACTTTGGTTGTCTGAAGTGGAAGGATCACTGAGCCCAGGATTTTAAGACCAGTCTGGGAAACATAGCGAGACCCGCCCACCCCCCCCCGGCCCCGCAATATCAACTATTTTAAAATATATATACATGAGAAAAAAGAAAAAAATTGAGACTGAAAGAGTGCTCGTAGCATCCCTGTAAGGACTATAACTATGATCTCATCCTTAGCACGGAAATCTCAAACTTCATCATTCAGAGCTGCAGAGCAGGAAGCTTTCAGCTCCACTGCGAGGTTCAGTTTAAATTCAATTTTCAGACCTGTTTTGAGCCATATATTGTTTTTTTAAAAAATTATGTGCCAACATTTAAAAGTTCGAAGGTTAAACATTAAAAAATCAGATTCCTGGCTTCTCCTGAAAAATCAGACAATCAGGCAACTTGGGACCTATATATTCCCACTCGGCCATGATTGAGTGTAGTTGAATTAACTGCTGCCCCCTAAGGCACGTTCTCCATGTCATCAGGACATTTGCAGCCCCTGTGCTCTCCCCAGCACTGAGGCTGAGGGTTCATTGCCCATTTACCATTGGCTGTCACTATTTGGGTGACTGGTGGCTTAGTTATGCTTCACCCATGCCCTTTTTTTTTTTACTCCCTCTCACTGCAATATCTAAGTGGTTATTTTTAAGAAGGGAAATATTCATCTCTACTAATTACTCCATAAAGAGTAAGAAGGGCTGGGCGCAGTGGCTCACGCCTGTAATCCCAGCACTTAGGGAGGCTGAGGCGGCTAGATCATGAGGTCAGGAGTTCGAGACCAGTCTGGCCAACATGGTGAAACCCCATCTCTACTAAAAATACAAAAATTAGCTGGGCATGGAGGCACATGCCTGTAATCCCAGCTACTTGGGAAGCTGAGGCAGGAGAATCGCTTGAATCTGGGAGGCGGAAGTTGCAGTGAGCCAAGATCGCACCGTTGCACTCCGGCCTGGGCGACGGGGCGAGACCCCATCTCAAAAAAAAAAAAAAAAGAGTAAGAAAACAAGATAGTCCAAGAGGGAGAGCCCTGCCTTTGGTACAAAATATTGGAGAGAAGATATTTGTTTGTGGGCATAAAGATACTCCTACCTTTCACTGCAAAGTATACCTGTGTCTTGTATCCAGATATCTTCACTCACACATTTTCTGCCTACCTTGCCTCCCCAGGCAACAGTGAGGCTCGGGGCATAAACATCATCAGGGTTGCTTGTTATAGACACAATGTAGGTTCCACAACCAGTGTTTGCCTCAGATAGCTAGGCAAGACGCTCAGACGTGGAGGAACATTGCTCTCAGAAAATAGTTTTCAATTGTTGGCTGGGCATGGTGGCTCAGGCCAGCACTTTGGGAGGCTGAGGCAGGCAGATCACTTGAGGTCAGGAGTTTGAGACCAGCCTGGCCAACACGGTAAAACCCTGTCTCTACTAACAATGCAAAAATTACTCAGATGTGGTGGCACGCACCTGTAGTCCCAGCTACTCAGGAGGCTGGGGCATGAGAATCGTTGAACCTGGGAGGCGGAGGTTGCAGTGAGCCAAAATAGCACCACTGCACTCCAGTCTGGGCAACAGAGTGAGACTCTGTCTCAAAAATAAAATTTTTTTAAAGAAGAAAATAATTTTCAATTGTCGTTTCAAGCTCCTTGCTTTATAGCTGCTCCTTTAACTTCCTTTAGCCAGATAGGCTACCACCCTCAAGCCAGTGATTCATTCAATACTAATTCCCAGGTGCCCACTATGTGCCTGGTATCCTACGAGGGACAAAGGATGATGAACTTTGCAGAGCATCACAGACCAAGGGACCGAGCACCAAGGACTGACAGAATGGCGGTCACCTCACACACTGCATTTCCACTTTGGCACCTTATTTCCATCCCACAGAGGAAGCAGATTTTATTATACCACTTTCTAGTGTATCTTATACTTTCTATTTCTCAGCCTGTCTCTGGGCCAATCTCATTTAGCCCCTTTGCAAATTAAATGCATCTCATTAAATCGAACCCATTTAGGACAATGCCCTTCAGGTGTGTGCATCTTAGTACATCTTTCATTTTAAGACAAGTGTTTGATTTATTTTTCATCTCATTACGCTCTTTAAAATTATGTGCATCTCATTACACTCAACGCACTGAGACAACTTATTTCTGGTA